GTTTGAAAAAATGATATTTTCATCGAAAAATAAATTATGACAAATATAAAAATTTAAATTTAAAAATAATTTATTGTTAATTGTGTTTTGTCAAAATTTTATATATACATATATAAAAAGTTTTTTTTAATTAAAATAATTTATGTATATATTATATATAAATATGAATTATTTTAATTAAATTAACTTTTTTTCAATGTATCGAATATATTAAATTATACAGATTAAATGTTATGAAAAATTATAATATTATTTTTTATTGTTCTTTATAAAATTAAAATTTCGATTTTAGTTTAAAATTTTGATACAATCTTTTAAAGAAATAATTTAATATCATCAATGTTAAATTAAAGAATTATAATAAATTCAATTATCATTATTATTTTATTATTTTGAATCGATAATTTTGTGTATCTAGGATATTTAGAATTAGTAGTAAGAAGAGTGATTTTATATTCAAAATATCATCATCAAAAATTTTTTTTTGCCTGAAGCATCATTTTCAAGAAAATCAAGTTTGAAAATTTGTTAAGTAGAAGTGAATTTATTTTATTTATTTTATGCTTATTTAGATTAAATAATCAAAATGTTATTTTATATGCAAAAAGTAAATATGTAATAATAATATTTCTTTCATTTTAGAAAGTAATTTTAAAAAAAATTTTGAAAATATGTATATAATTAAATATATCAATTTGATATTCATTAAATAATTAAATAAATCAATTTGATGATTTATTTTTTTAATATTATTGTATGCTCAATTTTGATTTTACTAAAAATGAGAATTTAAATGAAATAAGAAATAAAATAATAAAGTAATAAAAATTGTATTCGTTTATATTTATTTTTCATTTATTTTGCACGTATACATCATGTAAAATAATCCGTTAATAATAATCTACTCTATTCAATGAATTCATTCATTTTATATTTGAAATTTCGAAAATGAAGCTTCAAACAGAAAAAAACATTATATTTTTCCAATCCATTTTTGCATCTATCTTTCTCTGCTTCTTGCTATTATCTGTCTGGCATATCTATATAGACAAATTGATTGTTATTTAAAAAAAATATGGCAAAGAATTATGACAAAGTTTAATATTTTAATAAATTATTAATTATTTGCAAAATTATAATTCCAACAATATTTTTTATATCATAATGTATAAAAAAAATAAAATGAAACTTACTAGTCTTGTAGAAAAATTATTTAAACTAACTTAAGTAAATTTAATTAAAATATATTTAATTAAAATTGAAAAATTAAAATATCTTAGAGCAGCAAAAAACGTCGATTATCCAAATAATAAAATCAATTATTAAATTATTAAAAATAACTTTATAGTAATTACATATAACATTTAAACATTATTTGAATTATGCAAAGAATATTTTTTCTAGTGTTTTTTCTAAATAATATTTTCTATAAATAATATGAAACTAATGTTCTCAAAAAAAAAAATAACAGAAATAAAAATGAATAAAAAAAATTACTATAATAAAAAGTGATTATTTTTTAATAATGTTATTAAAAATTAATGATTAAATAATAATATATATTTGAAATTAATCATAATATTAAGATAATATTTAATAAAATATTAAATTTTTCAATAAAAAAAATTCTTAATATAAAATACTTAATATAATTTCATTTAGAAAATGTATATAAAATTAAAGATATGTATTCCTATTCCCTTTTTTCTTAATTGAAAATTTTTGTTTTATTTACTATAACAAGTTCCTTTTTTTATATAAGTACTTATATTATTTTTATGTAAACATTTATGTAATAAAAGTGCATTTTTTCTAATTACGCTTGCTATATAGAATATATGCTTGTTATATGCTATAATAATTAAAACTGTACTTTAAGTAACACCCTGTTAATTGTTGTCTATTGAATATATTTAAGATATTAATTATGAAAAATAAATAATTTTCAAAATTAGTTCGGATAATCGTCGTTTGAATTTAACATCCCTGATTCCCTTTACAACCAATAAAATTTTATACAATTAAATCTTTTTGTTCTTTTTTTCAATTAATATTTTAATTTTACATTAATATTTTAC